TTGCCTTTGGATGGTTTCAAAAAATATATTTCATGATCCTCATTCACTAATGCCGTTAATATAACCAAGACGTCAATGTCTTCTGAAACTATAACAACATTGTTTGTTTCTAAATTAATTGCTGTATCAATAATTAATTTGTCAGCATCGCTCTCCGCATGGCATGTAAAAATATTGTTGTCAGCTAATTTAATTCTCAATATTTCTATCAAGAGGCTTTTATTTTTATTATTCGACAAAAATTTATCTTGAGTTATTTTCAAAAGCATATTTTCATCGAATTCAATGTCAGCACATTTATTATTGTCTGACATTATCCATTGTTCGAAAACTGTAATAGAAAATAATTAAATACTTCATTAATTAATTTATTGCATTTCATTCATTATTATTTTTTCACTTGAATTGACCTTTAATCACCAATTCAACTATTATTTAATTGGTCTTCTAATAATTAACTGCATATTTTCAATCTACTTACTTTAACGGAGAAATCAAAATTCTTATGCAGAAGTTTGATAGGAAAAAATCATTTTCAATGTAACTTCCGTGAAAAATATACAAAAATTTTCGTAAAATCACCAAATTTCCACTTTTAAATATACACAACATGCACAAGATACGTGCCATTTATAACTGAACTAGCCCAAAAAATTCTGTTCAGGTGAATCTTGCAGCTGCCGCTGCCGTTCTCCCTTCCACATTTTACTACGTTGTCAAGGTCCCTACATACCTTCACTCACTCAGGTATGTTTGAAAGATGCTCATTTATGTAATCTATGTCTACTTAGGTGAAATCAAACGTATACATGGAAAAAAATATTATTTTAAGTAGAATTATATATGCTTCAATATTAATTGTTTATATTTTTTGGTTTAAATAATAAAAAATTAAAAGCACAAAATTTTTGGGTAAACTTTGTAATTTATAGCATAAAAAACAAATCCTACATCAACCATATAAATTCATTCACTGTAACAAAAGTCCGAGGCCAAAACCCCGGGAGCTGCACTAGATTGCTTGGAAGAAATCAGACTGTTTCTACAAAATGAGAGCAAAATTGAACAATACCCACAGTTGATGGGTATTATGTGGCTTTTAAAATTGATGTTTTTTACAGACATATGCCAACATTTCAATGAATTGAACATAAAGCTTCAAGGCCCGAATAAAACAGTTATCGTCATGATGGATCTCATTCGCGCTTTAGAAGCTAAACTATATGTTTTCAGAAACGATATTATTACAAAAAACTACAAGTACTTCCCAAACTTGAAAAAATATCAAAGATTTAGATGCCCAAGAGAAGCGAAATGAAGAAAAAGTTATTAATGACTTTATTTCCATAATGGATTTTTTAATCAAAGAATTTTCAGCGAGATTTTCTCAGTTCAAGGAATTATAGGAAACGTTCAAATTTATTATGTACCCTGATGTGATTTCATTCGATAAACTGAACTTGTCTGAATTCGATTGGTTGGAAATTGAAGAACTTGAAATGCAACTGATTGATTTCCAGTCTAGTTCAATATGTGTGTGTGTGGATTCAAAAGTTTATTGAAACAAGGAAAAAGTTGGAATTGATTGAAGCAGAAAGATTGACAAGCAATATAAGTAAAAATACCAGTAACGAAATTTTGGAAACATGGAATTCGATTCCAGACGCATTTAACTGTTTGAAGAAGTTGCCGTATGTTATTTTAACCATATTTTCATCTACCTATGCCTACGAGTCATTATTTTCAGAGATAAATAACACCAAAGACTCGCTTAGAAACCGTTTAATAGACGACTCTAATTCAGCATGCATTCTACTAAAAGTAACATCTTATAATCCTGATATAAGTTATTTGTCATCTAATCTACAACAGCAGAAATCACACTAATGTTATTTTAATTTATATTACAAGTATAACCAAAACATTTACTACTATACAGTGCAAAATGTATTTTTCGTATTAAATAAAGAATTTTGATTTGTTCGTATTTAGTTTTATTAGTTCTTCAATAATCACAATTTCAAAATTATTTGATGGCACGCCTATAACTCATAAAACGTTTTTTTAGAAAAAATGGCACATTGACCCAAAATGGTTCGCCACCCCTGTTCTAGATGAATCCAGAGGGTCCTAAACTCGCCAACATGATCGCCAATGGCGTCAAAATGGTTGCCAAAGTCGCCAAATTAGCGGCCAACTTAGTCGCCAAAAATGATTTGGCTCTACCGCCAAATTCTCATTGAATCGCCATTATAACGTAAGGGACGGCTTTGCTTGTGAATAGTACAATTTTAGCATGAAATAAATATAACGTAGAGTAATATAAATGCATTAAACACCCAAATACAAATTATTTACACAAAATTCGTAACAATATTCTTGGAATATTTTTGCATTTTTAAAAACACTATATTGTTAACAGAGGTATGAGTTATAATACTGCAAATTTTCATGGAAATTGAGGCATTGTTTCTGTCTGAAAAAATGTGTTTCGCGTTTAGTTCAAGCTCTCCTACTTTTACCGAAGACAGCCTTAAACTAAAAACTTCCAGGTTTCTACACAAAATTTAATTTTTTTCAGTTTTCAATTGGGGCAGTTTAGCAAGTTTGAGTTTTTGTTGCGCAACTTTAAAATACTAAAATACTGCAATATATTTGTGCTATAATGTAGTTTTGTACATCATGGAAATATTCAGTTTTATCTGCGAAACTTGAATTCAGAATACTTGTATTCGCAGGTCTAATTGCAATATTAGACGAGGGCTGATTTTTAGGTACATCATTTTCATTAGTATTCCATCTTTTCGAAATATTGTTTCGAAAACTTTACACTTTCTTCAAACCGTCTCAATCGTTAGATTCACGATTTTCTTACAAGGCGAGGGCACGGCTAAGGAAATTCATTAGAGATCGAGACTTGGTGTAATAGTAGTACTTCTCTCTCTCTTCAGAGTGTTCAACGCTCAATGTAATTCCGCCGAATGGCCAGTCAATTCGGAGAAAAAAAGCCTTCGAAATTCGTGCCCTATCCTTGTTAGATACGACTATACCAGAAGAAAAAACATATAAGAATATCTAACCCGCACGATCGTGCGGGTTGGATCTTAAACGGATAGCAGGAAATTCCCAGGGAAGCGGGTGTGTTACGACTTGTTAATGTAAAACTGCCTTAATAATTCCTTTTTCCCCCATAGTTTTGGAAATTAAAATAGTCTGTTTACAAATATTTTTTATGATGATATACATGTCGCTGTCGAGCTATTTTGAACACACTGTGACGGGCTCACGCGTTTTTTCTTTAACAAGTCATTTGGGTTCTTTGGGGCCAGAATTAATAGCAACTCTTTTCCAACCAAATCCAAGAAGTGAAGTGCGAAAGAAAGATGCAAATTAGGAAGCTTTTAAATATCAGAAGTTAGAGTAAGCGGGATGGCAATTTGAGGAATGAAAACATAATCCGTGGCTCAAGCGTGAAGAAGTTTTGGATAACGCGACGAATAAAAGTTATACGTGATAGAGATCCATTGAGTCAAGGTGCATACCATTGCCCTCGAGTTATTGCAAGGTCTCATCTAGGATAGTTGTGATCGTTACTTAAACTACGGCAAGGTAGGATTGGCTATTTAATATTAGGATCTGTGATAGTATTGGAATCGTGTTTAGGCGAGTCAGTTATTGATAGTGGTCCGAGTTAGGTTAATTCAGTATTGTATAAATGGTGTGTTTTGCCACCGTAGATTCTCACATATATTATTATAATCTCATTTGTTAAAAGCTTAAGTTCAAAACCTTAATAAAGATATATTAAGATTATGTATGCATCTAGTTCTTTCGTTAATCCTACACTTCTAGCTCACGCTGATAATCAAAGAGATGTTCCCCCGAAGGGGGGTAACACAACACAATCAATATTATATAAAAATACTATTTTAATACTCATACGCTTTTGTATGGTGTTCTTGCTTACGTTTTCTTAAACATCTGGAACTTTGTAATATTTTTTTTTGAGATATCATGCCCAAAGATTCGAAATTCAATTCAGAGAATTTCCTAAGCCATTTCCGAAATCGTGATTTACCAACTAAATCGCAACTACAGTTGTCACGAAATGTCGTTTTTGACCTTACAGCAAGAAAACGTGAGCCCAATGTCGGATTGAAATACCACGGGAACAGGTATTATTGTCAGAAAAGGGCATTTCGTTAAATTTATTCGTATTCAGTTTCACTTAAAACACTTTGTTCGTATTTTTTAATCCATTAACTCTCTTTGTGTGTTGTTCTGGTCATAAAATTTTATTTCAACACACAAAAAATTCTACGACAGAACTATTTTACCTGTTTTGATATCGAATGTTATCTATGTCTTCCTCCTACGAAAATATTTTTAGTAAGAAAGGTTTCTTGCTTCGAAATCTAGCCTTCAATAATATCACTTGAGGGCGAAGTATCCACTTCAAATTTTTTACTTAACAAAGAAACGTGGCACTTAAAAGTGACAAATAATATAAAAATGAACAAAAAACTTCAAATACATAAAAAGTACTTAAAGAGAAAAAAAATGCCTCTTACTTTCGATTAAGAACAGTTTTTTTTTATATCGGTTTCCTGTTCTGGAGTAGAGAAAATATTTTTTAACGGATATTTTTCTTTCAAATATATGGATACCTAAATCCTTTTTTTAACAAGTTAGACACGTTTCTCGAAAAATCGCTTAAAAAACCTTTTAAAAAAAGATTGATTTATACTGTGAAAAGAGATCTGTGTTCCGAGTTATTCAAGAGTCATGTAGGATGAAATAATCAAATTTAATTCAAAAAACCACTTAAAAGTTATGAGAATTCCACTTATACATTTTTTTAACCATGTAGTGGATGACACTTGATGTTAATGTAGTTTTTTTCAGATATTAATTCATTAATTAAATTAAAAAATGAATAAATAGTGACAAACACAAATAATAGTCCAATATCATGTATAGAAAGGAAAATCGCTCATCGTGTCCCTGTAGCGTAATGAATAAATAGCATGTTGGACATCTATTCCAAAGGTCGTGGGTTCGAATCCCACCTGGGATGTCATAATTTCTGAGAATGTGATTTCTTTTTTACTAAACTATTTTATTAGAATAATTAAATATAATTAATGAATAAATAGTAGGAAACAAACAAAAAATAGTCCAACACTCTATTTAGAAAGGAAAATCGCTTTCTATTTTGTCACTTAATATTGCGATTCTGTCATATGTATATATATATATTTATATTAATTGTAATTATTTAATAAAAAATAACTAAGATAAAATATTTCTCTGTTAACCGAAGTAAGAATTGACTTAAATTTTATATATATTACTCGTTTATCTTTATTGTTCTATGAGTCATTTCGTTAAAGCACGTCAAATCATCAGATGTTGAAACATCATCCTCTTTTATTTTTGTTGAGCAATGATTTTATTTTAGTTTTCGCAGAAATGGATTTTCTTCTTCGACTCTATGCAACTTAAAAGTTTTTTACTTGTAATTGAATGCCCACTGTAGCTTAGTGATTTTTTTTTCAATTGGGTTGCATTTGGCACACAAGCCTTTGCAAATACGGCAAGTTCCCAAATGTGAAAGCCGTTTCATGGTAGCAGCTTTCGCTACCAAATTTTGACGCTCGCTTGAATTAATTTTAATTTAAGCTTTTGTTGGATGCCAAATACACTCAGGAACATTGAAAATAGCGACCCAAGAAGGAAGCTAAGTACAATCGCGAAACTTTGCAAATAAGTACAGCGTAATGTGATATGCAAATGATCCAAGTTTTGTGCCAATACGCATGCTCATACACGCCGAGGTGGCGCTACAATCAGGAAGAGGGTGCTATATAAGCCAGCGCAAATTCGAAGATTCATAAACGGGACGATTACCCGCCGATAGTAGGAAGACTTTGGTAAGCGAGACATGCCAGGTAAACGTGCTAGAAGACATTTCTCACAGTTAAGCGAGTTTGAGAGAGTCCTGATCATCGAGATGAAAACTGCAGGCTGGTCGACGCGCCTTGTTGCTGGCCAGGTGGATCGTTCGGAGTGTGCCGTTAGAAATTGTTGGGAGCAGTGGACACGAGAAGGTACCCACGCGCGGAAAACCGGGTCTGGAGCGGCCAGGAAGACTACGAGGAGAGAGGATCGAAGGATCGTGCGGCAAGCACTTGTGGACCCCACAGTCACTCGTTCAACGATACGAGCAGACGTAGGCGTAGCAATTGTTCCACAAGCAATTTCCAGACACCTTGCAGAAGCAAATCTTAAATCCAAGCGCTCTTTCCGTGCACTCCCTTTAACACCGGAACATCGGCAACTGCGTCTACAGTGGTGCCAAGCCAGATCAATGTGAAATGTCACAGATTGGCAAAAGGTTGTGTTTAGTGATGAATCCCGGTTTGATTTGGGGACAGATGATAACCGTGTACGGGTGTGGAGGCACCCTGGTGAACGGTACAATTCCCCCCACACTGTTCTACGTCACACTGCCCGCACAGCTGGTGTAATGGTCTGGGGGCCATAGCCTATGATAGCCGGTTCACTTTAATTGTGATGCATGGAACCTTAACGGGCCAACGTTACGTTGATGATATTCTTCGACCCCATGTAGGACCTTTCCTAAATGGTCTTCCAAGGGCAATTTTCCAGCAAGATAATGCTCGTCCGCATACAGCAAAAGTTGCTCAAGACTTCCTACGTCATTTTCAGTCTCTTCCATGACCGGCCCGCTCCCCGATGTGTCCCCTGTAGAGCACGTGTGGGATGAGCTAAAACGGCAGATGCCATCGTGTCACTCTGTACATGATTTAGAGTTGGCTGTTCAAGATTTGTGGGCCCATGTGCCTCAGGACAACATAAGGTGTCTAATCAACTCAATGCCAGACCGTGTGGTGGCATGTATTGCAGTTGGAGGTGGTCCAACGCGCTATTGAAGTTGCCCAGTATTTGTGTCGTTGCACACCCTTTATTCGTTTAATTGCCTGGTTTTTGAGATCAAGTGAATCTCTCATCTGTGTCATTATGTGTATTAAATTTCATTTCAATGCGATGCTTTCTTCTTGGGTCGCTATTTTCAATGTTCCTGAGTGCATTACCGTCTTTTAATTTTGCCGAGAATACTAGAGCCAAAATGATATACTCAAGGGATATCTTACATGCCACATAAACATATAGCATGCATGTCTATGATTTTTGCATCCAGAAAATCTATTGACTCCAGCCAGGATTGAACCTGCAACTTCAGAGGCGGGCACGCTGCCACTAAGCCACCCAGCCGACTTCGAGAAGTTATAACAGTTCAAATATTAAATTTTATTTGTAGTAATTTTGTCTAAGTAAAAATGCAGTTCTGGAGAATTCAGTTTTATAGTAAGCAGCAAAAAATTTACAAAATAATTGATTTAATCTTATACAAAAATATTCATCTTGAGAAAAATTCACAACTATTGGGATTACGATTTAACAAGTAATATAAAAAAAAATATTTTTTTTATTTCAATTTCTACTTAGGTCAACAAAGAAATTTTTTATTTTAGTTACTTTCTATTAAATAGTTACAATTAATAGGTCAACTCAGCCTTTCATCCCTTCAGTGGGTCGATAAAATGAGTACCAAGCTTGCTTGGGGACTAACTAAAACACTGTGGCGGTTTCCCTTCAGACTGACCACCTGATAGAGATATCTGCTCATGCTCCTCAGCGCCCAATGGTCAAGTATACTGAGATGAGCACAGTAGGCCTGGTCCTCGTGGGCTGTTACGCTACTGAGTTTGGGTTGAGTTGAGTTACAATTAATATAAACATGTATATACATAGTATGTATGTATATACATGTCATATACATGTATGTGAGTGTGTCCGTTATTTAAATACTTCAAAAAAAGAGACTTTTTAAGTTAATTACTTTAATACAGAAAAAAAGGACATTATAGGACGGACACACAGGTAAAAAAAAAAAAAGAATAAGGCTATCTGCCTTTACATAGTTAGATTTGAAACATCACGCGTGTTAGAGGTTTTTCATCTCGCGCTTATGGCGGCGGGAAGAGGACTGTCTCGCAATCTCGGCTGACTGCCTCGAGTCACTTCAGTTCATGCATGGCTTCGGAAATGGTCTGCGAGTAGCTGACATCCACATGTATATATATATATATATATATATACATGTACATGACATGTTGGACACAGCCACAATATTAACTGCCAAAATAGAAAGCATCTTTCCATTTTCCTTTCTAAATAGGGTGTTAGGCTATTTTTTGTTACTAATTATATTCACTAATCAAATTTAATTATTTTAATAAAATAGAATAGTAAAAAAAAAAAATCGCATTCCCATAAATTAGGCTATCCCGGGTGGGATTCCAACCCACGAATTTTGAAAATTGGAAGTCCATTGCTCTACAGGGACACAACAAACTATTTTCCTTTCTATATTGGCTGTTGGACTATATTATTTTTGTTTGTTGCTATTTATTCATTTTTTAATTTAACTAATGAATGAATATTTGAAAAAACTGTATTAACACCAAGTGTCATCCACTACAAGTTTAAAAAAATGTACACTCATGGACAAAAAAATTAGCGCACAAAAAAGGAGTCGTCAAAATGAAACGAAATTTTACATACGTAATGACTACAATGATGTAAGTAAATTATTAGAAAATCAAAGGAAAAGGATAATTTATTTCAGAGAAAAAGGCAAAAGAACGGAGGATTTAATACCCTGTTGAACCCTCTCTAACGCGAATGCATGATGCGATACGATCGGGCATTAAGACATACAAGTTCTGTTTGATGTCTTGAGACATTTCGATTCTTATTTGTAGTAACTTTGCTTCTAGTTTGTTTAAACTCGTGCGATGCCCAACTCGCCGTCCCAAATGATCCCAGATATGCTCGATCAGAAACAAATCTGGGGATCGGGTAGGCCAAGGAAGGGTAGTAACAATGCGGAGACGGTATTGTGACACCCTTACCACGTGAGGCCGATTATTGTCTTGCTGAAAAAATGGCTCCTGGGAGCCGTTGCGTGAGTGGCAACACATGTGGTTGCAGGATGTCATGGGCATACAACATTGCTGTCATGGGCCCCACGGATTAATACTAGGGGTGGCTGTGTATTGTAGGCAATGGCACCCCATACCATCACACCAGCTGTGGGAGTGGTGTGTCGTTGTAAATCAATTGTAGGATTGAGGCGTTCACCACGGAGTCTCCAAACGCGAACACGATTGTCATCACTGCTGAGATTGAATCTGGATTCTCTTCGCTAAAGACGACCTGGTTCCATTTCGCTGCAGTTCAGTTTCCTCGTGCGCGGCACCACTCCAAACGGAGGCGTCAATGGGTGGGCGTCAAGGGCAGCTCGCGTAATGGGCGCCGCGATCCCAAATGTCCTTTAGCCAGGTGCCTTCGTATGGTTCGAGAAGACACAGGAGCCCCTGGTGAAGGTGCTACCTGTGCCTGGATGGCGAACGATGAAGCAGTTGGCTGTACGCATGCATTTCTTTGGATGTGGCGTCTTCTCGACGACTGGTCTGTCGAGGGCGTCCTGAGCCTGGTCTTTGTGTAAATGACATCTCTCGGATTCACTGGTCCCAACACCTCCTCACAACACAATCAGAGGGGCCTAATTGACGAGCTATTCACCTAGCTGACCACTCAGCTTCCCTCATGCCGATGATTCTCCCTGTAACGTTTGAAAGAATAACGGTAGCGTATTCTTGGTTAATTAAAATATGGAATTTATTTACGTCACAACTATTGAAAATTATTTACTAAATGATACATTAAAGTTATTAAATTTAATTATAGATTGTTAGAGTCCAATATTTTGTGAGAGGAGGATTCGCTGGCAACCGCTCCCGTGCAAGTTCAAAGCATCTCTCCCCTCATCTTCCGGTCGGCGAGCTAGATTCCTCGGGGGGTCAAACAGGGGTTGCGCTGCACCTGAAGCTGCACGTGTGGGCGTCGGGTCTACAAAGAAACCGACCAGATGTTGATGTTTTCGAGAAGTGACGTTACATCCCTCTCAAATTGGGACAGCTACTC